ATAGTACATAGTAGAAAATTATTATTACTTCTGCATTGCCGGTGTTTCAATAGCAGTATTACTCTGTTACATATATGTTATGCTTTTTATTAGGTTGTTGATAACATTTTAGTTTGTTTCTATCATAAATGGGAATGTCTCTAGTCATCCGCCTCTATCTGTGATAGTAGCTTGGCTGTGAAGGGGCCTCGGCAGAAGTGAAATGGAGTTGAAGAGCTCCATTAGGAGGCTGTTTGGTTTGTTGGATGGGAGTTGAGGGCCTGAACAAGAGTCATGGCCGCAGGGGTGGAAAAGAGGGTCTGAGAGGTCACTGGTTTTGCATGATTAGATGGTCAGTAGAAGATACCAATTTGGACAAAGGAAAGAGTCAAAGATGACACCTAGGCTTCTCTTTTAGGCAATTGGGTAACTGGCAGCCATTTATCAAGATGGGGACCATGAGTGGAAGCGCAGATTTGAGGAGGGATGAAGAATTCTTGGGTTTGAAAGACTCGGGAGAACTCAATAGGCAGGGATTACGTAAGCAGTGGGAGCTATCAAACTAGGATTCAGAAGAAAGTATTGGTCTAGAGCAGTGGTCAGCAAACTGCGGCTTGTGAGCCACATGCGGCTCTTTGGCCCCTTGAGTGTGGCCACGAAGATTCAATCGCACTGTACGTGCGTGCCCACATGTGGCATTTTGTGGAAGAGCCACACTCAAGGGGCCGCAGTTTGCCAACCACTGGTCTAAAGCTATGGACTTGGGAGACTTTAGTGTATATGGTAATTTAAACAGATGGACTAGATAAGATTGTCTTTTTATTCACTTATTTCTTAATATTTATGGAGCATCTTCTTTGTGTCAGACACAATCCTAAGTGCTTGGGATATCTCAGTAAACAAAACATACAGACTTCTGCTCTAACAGCTTATAGTCTAGTGGGGGAGACATAGACAATAAACAAAAACAAGAAATAGTTATATAACACAATAAAAGATGATAAATGCTGCAAAAAAATAGAAGTAGTGCAGGGTACAAAGAATTAGGAGTGCCCGGTAGAGGGTGGTTGCGGGGATGGATGGTGTATAAAACAGGAAGAGGGCTCAGGTGAGGTCCTCGTGCAATATTTGGGATAGAGGCAGTGATTCTCTGAAGAGTAAAGAGAGGAACGGCTACAGAAAGAGGTGAAGGATTTAGTGTGACCTAATCCAGGGAAATCGATGGGGACTGAGCAGCTGTCATCAACCAGGCACCAGCCTCGTTAGTGGTACCTTTCCATGCACGTGTGAGCAAGGTGATGTCATCAGGTGAAATGTCATAAAGAGAGGGAGTTGCTCCAAGACCAGCTGCAGAGACAACACTTTGAATAGCACTTCTCATGGTGATGATGGCCAGCCCACCTACCTTTCTGTCACTTCTCACGATCAGATCATCTCCCCTGATAAAGCGGTGACTTGGGGTTGAGGTTTGTGTCCCCACTTCCCCCCTCCACGTGCCTTTCCGGATGTGTTTACATTTTCCAGCTCTCTCTGCAGCTGTGTTTCTGTGTTTCTGCCAAGCTCTGAGCGAAATGCTCGGTCACTGTCTCACTCCCTCCAGGTTTTATTAAAGGCCAACTATTCTCCAACTCTACGATAAAGTCATCTAGACCAGTGGTTCGCAACCTTCCTAATGCCACGACCCTTTAATACAGTTCCTCATGTTGTGGTGACCCCAATTTCATTGTTACAAATTGAACATAATTAAAGCATAGTGATTCATCACAAAACCAATATGTAATTATATATGTGTTTTCCTATGGTCTTAGGAGACCCCTGTGAAAGGGTCGTTCGACCCCCAAAGGGGTCGCGACCCACAGGTTGAGAACCGCTGGCCTAGAACCTTTCCCAACAGAGAACCAGTTCTCGCTCTGGGATCTGTCTTCTCACTCCCTGTTTTCAGCCCCTTTTGCAGTCAGCTGGATGACGGCAGCGAGTCTTCCTCAACGCTTTCCTCTGCTTTATGGAGCCAGCTAGCAACCCCACTTCCGGCCTGCAAGTGTAGCTTCTGAGTCAAGTAGAATTTCACAGGTCCCAGCAGGAGGAAAGGCAGGCTTGCCTGAGGAGAGTGACATGAGGAGGAGGAAGAGGGAGCTTGCTGATTTGACTTCCCCAGGAGGAGGGGCCGCATCTCAGAGCATACACCTGACTCCCTGCTTTTCTTTCAGAGAAAACCACTAACAGCCACCCTCTCTCGGGCCAGAATACTGAATAACACAAATATAATGTTACATAGGGGTGATGGTTTCTGAGAACAGAAATTATATGCTGGATTTTAGCGTGGCCTTGTTCAGCTTATGCGTGGTCATTGTTTCTCAGGCATCCCTCAGTTTGGAGTGCCCGGGGGCCGGGGGGGGGGGGGGCTTACTCCAAGCTTGTTAATTCTCTCTCTAGTCATCTGAGTATTTTCCTCACGTGACAGGAGCATGCCTTAGCTACCAAGAAAGCTGTTGATTGTCCAGAGGCCTGGTTTCTGCTTGAGTGAAAAAGAAGCCCAGCTGCTTTCCCAGCTGTC